ACGAATTATTCGTTATACATTCCGCATAATTCGTTATAGCGTTAACGAAGATTCTTATAATGAAGTCCTGATCGGCTAGATCGGTAACTTCGTTATATCGAGGTGTGACTGTAAATCAAATAAATTTCAAATATTAGGAATTTATCTAATTTATTTAATTTTTAAATTCTTTTAATAATTATTATTTTTATTATAAATTTTATTTTTGTTATATAACTAATTATTTAAATAAAATTTTAATATACTATAGATATATTATATTTATAATATGGAATCTTTGCAATAGAAAAAGATGAAATAGCTAAAAAAAAATAAAAATGAGTTAGTGCTAAATCTGAACATATTTTAATCTAAAAATAATATTTGAAATATAAAAGTAAAATTGATTTTTCTACCTTTTTCTTTCTTTTTTATTATAAAAGTCCTATATATTAAAATTTTAGTTTAATTTGAATTACTAATATTTAAAAATTAATATAATATATAACAATAATATTTCAAATTTTTAAAAATTTTTATATTTAATTTTTATTAACTAAAATTAAATTTGTTTTTTTAATACTTTATAAATTTAATATTTAATTATATTATATAATAATTTGGTTTAATTTAAATCACTAATTATTATAAATATAATTTGTAAAATCAATTATAAGAAATAATTAAAAATTAATTAAAATTGTCTATATAATATATTATTTTTATATTAAATATTTTGATAACTTGTAATTTAAATTAAATAAAATTTTATATATTATTGTTTTTAGAATTAGAATTATTTATTATTAAATAATTCAATATATAAAATAATATTCAACAATTATTAATAACTTTCTATATATTTTATATCATTATTTTATTTTGTATAAATTATTAGTTTTTTATATTTTACTTTAATTATAAATTAAATTAGTTTATAATATAGTAAATTAAATATTATAAATTTTAAAATTTTATATAAATAATTTGACTTTTTATTTAATTATAAATTATACTCTAATAACTTAAATAGAATTTTTAAATGAATTTAAAATATTAATTAATTAAAGAATTATAATTAATAAATATATTTTCTTTTAATATATTTTTATCTAAAATTAATTATAAATTATTAATTATACTTATTTATTATTAAATTTAATAATTTAATTAAATAGAAACATTTTATATTTTTATTTTTATAATTTTTTTTTATTATTTCTTCAACTGTTTTGCCTACAAATTTATAAGCAATTTTATTTTTAATTATAATTTCTTTTAATTATTTTTAAATATTTTAAAATATATTATTAAAAAAATCAATACTTTTATAATAAATTTTATAATGTTTCTAAGTAAAAATAAAAAAAAAATGTAATGAACTAGTGATTTTTTAAAGATAAATAAATAATAAATTATTATATAAAAAATTAAAATTTTAAACTTATATATCTTGCTATCTATCAATTTTAAAAATATAAAAATACTATCATTTAATAGGTCTTAATATGATGAATCTAATAAATTATATTTTATATTTTTATAATTATTAAATAATAAATTATTTTTAAAAGTTAAAAAATTAAATTTTTAATATATAATTGTTTTTCCTTTATAATTACTTTTATACAATCACATTATATAAATCTTTTATTATAAATATATATTTTATAAGAACTAATATCTATAATGCTATATAAAAAACTCCTTTATAATCATAATATTTTTATAATCATAATTTTTCAAAATTAACATTTAATAATAATATATAATGATCTTCTTATATAATCATTTTTTATATAATCACACTTTTTATTTTTGATTCTTTTAAGAGGTATACTTATAAAGAAAAAATAATTATATATTAACAAATATTAAAAATTAGTATATTAAATATGATTATATTTAAATTAAAATAAAGAAAATAAGTAATATATAGTTTAAACTAAAATTATATATATAAATAAATAAATTTATTATTAAAATAAAAAAATTATATTATTTTTTTTATGAAAAATTATTTTTTTAAATGTAATTTCCATTTAATAATAATATATATTTTTTATATTATATAATACATGTATATGAAAATTATATATATAAGGAAGATTACTAGAAAAATCAGACTTTAGAAATTTTTTAATAAATTTTAATTTTTATTGTATTTTAGTTTTTAATGTTATAAATTAAAATGTAATAAAATCTTAATTTTAATCAAAAAAGTAAAGCTTAATTTTTCTAATAAACTTATCATATACATATTATTTATATAAAATTTTATATATTAAAAGTAAGTTTTATTATTTATAAAATAATAAAACCAAAGATAATTAGTAATTTCTAACAATTATAGATAAATTATAATTTTTTTAATATTAAAAACATATTTAATATTATAATATTAAATGTAAATATTTAAAAATTAAAAATCCAATAATTATTATTTAAATTAAAAAAGGTAAAAACTAATATATATATAAAAAATATTAATAATTTAGAACTTACTGATTATTTTATTTATAAACTAAACAGATTTATTTTTGATTTTTAATTTCTATATATATTTATTAATTTTTCTTTAAATAATATTATTTTAAAGATAATTTAATAAATAAATATATAAAAATTATTATTCAAAAGTGAATATATTAATGCTACTTTTAAATAACTATTATATAACTTAATAGTATATTAATAGATGTTTTTTTTGCAGTTGAAGGGTGTTTAGATGAGAAGCAAGATAATAATGATTATGAAAATTGGCTCAATACTCTTTCAGTTACTCAATCTACTACAATTGTTCAGAACATTTACAGATGTAATTAATGAACTTAAGGAATTTACTACAACACAAATTCAGCAAATTCATTAAAATGAAATGACATTAGCATTTAATTCTAATGCAAACCTTTAGATCAATCTTATATTAATAATGAAAATTCTCAGGTATAGCATTAAAAAAAAGTAATTTCTCTATTTTTTTGTTATGTATAATTAACATTATTCATTCAATTAATTTTTAGTATTGGTCATATTCTTCGGATTTCATTTAAAAGCAGGGAAATAAGACAAATTACATTTCAACGACTTTTGTTATCACGTAACGAAATAGACATCAAAAGCATTTGAGGAGTCGCTTATTTAACTTCGTCTGAAATAAATCACTGGTCATTTTATTGAATAATGGAGTATATAAATGCAGACATTATTTTAGCGTGATGTTACAAACTTCACAAGCAAGATTTCATATTGGATTTCTTAATCAACTTTGGCTTGTTTCAAATCAACTGGATTTTAAAGTCAACCATTTTATTCTGCTACAAATTCAAAATAATTTAGAAACTTCAGTAAATCATTCCAGACTTTTTTAATTTAGAAAAGAATGGTTTGGATTTGAATGGCAATCAATATGTTTCTCTTAACAAACAACGCCAATATTATGTTCATGTATGGGGATTAGTTAAGCAAGCGAATCGGATTGCTTGCAAAAATTGTGATGAATCTTTTGTAATTTTACGAAGAATATTTTAGCAGAAAAAAAAATCACGAAGCACTAAATTTGGAACAATCTGAACCAATCCAAGATATGAATGAACAGGATGATCAAGAAAATATAGGTCAAATTCAAAATCTTATAATTAGGCGTCCTAAAGGAAGACCAGCAGGTACAGTGAGATTCAAAGGACCCTTAGAAACTTCTAATGAAGTTAATAAAAGTCGCAAATGTGGGTTTTGCAATGAGAGCGGACTACATGTCCAATGAATACTAACCGAAATAAAAGCCTTATGCGAACTGGAAGATGTGGGTTCTTATCACGATAATTGAATATTCTTCAAGCGAAACATCATCTCTTAAAGTGATCCCGTGTAAACTTTATGTTTGTGCGCCCTGGCTAAATTTAATATTCTTAAAATGTTAAATCTGTATTTTAATACACAGTATGAACTTTTTTAAAAAGAATTGTTGATTATTATAATTAATAATATTTGAGGTTGATAAATTTATTATCACTCTTTGCAAAGTATAATTGACAGCGATTTGTCGGATGATAATACGTTACAACCCAGAGAATATGAAATCAAACTGTAAATTCCATAAATATTTTTTTAGTTCGAATTTTTATAGTTTATGATAATGGTTTGATTTTAATTAAAGATTGCTTAATATCTCGCTGAAAAATATTAAAAATCCTCTTTACAATTTTTTTTGATTTCTATGATCTAATATTATTGGTAAAAGAAAGGTTGTGCAAATTTTTTAAGAAAATCAGAAAACAAAGTTCAAGTTAAAATATAGGCCGTTCGTTCCTACGTGAATTTCTTCGAGAACGAGCAGCTTGGATAGGGTAAGTGCATCCGTCAACATAAATTTTTCCTTGCTTTATAGCAGCATTGTATTTCTCATATGATTCGAAAGTGACAAAAGCACAGCTCTAATAAAATATAAATGTATAAATCATTTCGTTAATATGAATGCAGTATTGGTTAAAAGGATTACCTTATTGGTCACCAAATCAAGATGAAGTACTCGACCAAATTGTTCTTCCAGCGTTTTTTTCAAATTAACCTTAGATGTATCAGATTTAACGGATCCAATATAAATGCGATATTCTAAAGGATGAAATATTAATTTGAATTTAAAATTGTATTAAACACGAAAAAAAAAAAATAATAGCTCCTTTTCTTTTACCTTCAAGTGGATTTTCTTGATTAGAATGAACCCATTCAGTAGAATCACAATCATTTTCTATATAAACAAATTCTAATTTACCATTACCACGACTATCATTATTTTGTCCGTAAAGTGACCGACCACTCACTATTTATTTTTATTAAAATTGAGTATACGGTTATAAAATAAATATTAAAAACAAAACAAAAAAAAATCATTTGTATAGTTTGTAAACTTTACTTATAGTTTGTCTAGGGTCCTCTCTCAAAGTCGCTATTAATTCTCTTTGCGACTTAATTAAAGCTTCTTGTAATAAGGCTATTTTCTCATCTTTTGACTTGATAACCGTGTCTTTTAACTCGATTTGTAGCTTTAATACATCACAGCTAGAGCACCTTTTGTGTCCCATATTTGATTCGAATTCCCCCATATATAACAAACTAATTTAAAATTTCTGTCGCGATTTTTATAAACTTAAAAATAGACTACGTCAGACAGCCATTGTGTAACGAATGCCCATGCAAATCATATAAAGCTATTCGCTGAAAGTAATTATAATAGGTATGCCAAATTAAGAATTTATTCTAATATACTTGATTTAATCATCGTCTTTGTATAAAAGTAACGCCATATCATTATCCAGTATTTAAATAAAAAGTCTAAAACTACTGCTCCTCTTCTTTTTTTATACTATTCTAACTTAATCACCGGTTTGGTTTGGGAAGGTATAAATGTTGATTATTTTATAATAAATAAAAGATCGACTTCTAAAAAAAAATCAAATCTTTAGCTCATTGGAATAGTAGATATTAATTGGTAAAATTAAAAAGATATATTTCTCAATTAACCTTTACATATGAAAAAAAAAAATGATTTGGCAAAGTGGAAATCTCTTCAAATTTACATTTGAATGCTAATTCTTGATTCTTTGATGGTAAAACAAAGGAAAACAATGAAGGACAAGTAAATCAGGAAATTGGGCTGATGTTATTAAGATCACGATCAGTCATTAATTTTGACCCGAACCTAATCCTAACTAGCTTTTTCCCTTTCTAAAGAAAGTGATTAACAAAATTTATTTATTTTATTTTTTATTTTTTCATCATCAGATAAATAATTTTAATTTAAAAAAATACATATAAATCTTATGATTTATAACTTTGCATCCCATTTTTTCACATTCATATATTTAATACCTTCAACATACATTTCTTCTTTCAATGATCCATAAATCGCACCAGCTTTTGCTTTACCAGACCATTTTAATCCCAACTCTTTTGCTTTTGCTAATACTTCATTTTCTGGTACAATAAGTTCTACAAGTCCTTGTTCTAATGCTTCTGTTGATGTAAATTTATGAGCTTGTAAAATACAATCTCGATAGGTTTTAGGCGTCATTTTAATACGAACTATCGCTGCCATACCAGGATGAAGAGGAGAAGGAATGTCAACTTCGTTCTTTTATGAAAAATAAATTAAGTGGTTTTTATGTAAATATAAAGTATGCGAAATATTCAAGTAAAATTGATTACACACCATACATAAATATCCTCTATCACTTCTCATAACACGATAATCTAAATTAAATTTAAATAAAACATTAAATTATTTTTTAATTTCAAATGGATTGTATATCTTTCTTACCGTGTGCAAGAGCAAACATAAATCCTCCGGCAAAAGCATGTCCATTAATTGCAGCAACGGTAGGGATAGGAAATGTCAAGACCCTTGTCAACAATTTCAAATAATAATTATCAAAAAATCCTGGTACGCTAATAGCATGTTCTAAATCTAATCCATTACTGAAAAATTTTCCTTCACCCGTAGTAATGAGTGCTGCAGGTTCGCTATCATCTTGATTACGAACTTTTTCGATTTCATCTAAAGCTCCAAAAAGTGCTTCAACAAATTTTGTTGTAAATCGATTTTCTCCGGTTTTCATTGTCATAATGAATAATGGTCCTTCTTGAACAAGCGTAACCATTGGATTGGATGTATCAGGAAATGCTAGTTTAATACTCATTTTCGGAATTCGATGCGCCTGAAAAAAATAGTTTAAAAATTATAATTTGGAATTCGATCTGTTGAACCATTGATTAAAGAGTAATTACACTAATTAAAATAAATTAAAGGGATCGAATTTGTGACGGTACATTTGAATTGACACATAATTATAATTAATAACCACCTTATCAGAAGATTCTGCAGAATAAAATCTTGGCAAAGTAACGTTCCTCGATAATGTAATCGGTAAAAACGGGTAATTTCCTAAAGGATTTTTGGAAGATAGATAAAGTTATTGATCGGTGATAAAATATCATGATTTTTGGGCGACACAAAATAATATGGTTGCATATATACTTTTTATGAAAATCGCCACTAAATTAAGGTATATACTGTAAATTAACTTTCAATTAAAATTTTTTGTTTGTAAACCACCTTTTCTAAAATATGAACGACCTTTTTTCCTTTTCAAATCTATTCACATTATCTATCGGCATTCTAATTATAATTTTTATTATATATAAACAATTCATAAATCGAACCCAAAGTTTGGCTCGAAAAAACCTTAATTACTTTTATGATAATAAGTTAAATTACGATACAAAACCTATAATACTTGGATTTTTTCATCCCTATTGGTAAGTTTTTTTCTTATAAAAAAGAGGTGTTTTGATTATTCATTTAATTCTAATTTAATAATTTATTTTGCCAATTAATATTTTACATGTTTAAGCAACTCTGGAGGTGGGGGGGAAAGAGTTTTATGGACGATTATAAGAAGTGTTCAAGAAAAATATCAAAATATAGTTTGCGTTGTATACACAGGAGATACGGATGTAACAAAAGATGCGATTTTGGAAAAAGTTAATGTAATTTAAAGGGATCTTCGTAGTTCAATCTATCAACACTTTTCTTAATTTACATTTTTCAAACATTATTTAGATCCGATTTAACATTATACTTAATCCCGACAATTTATTCTTTGTCTTTTTGAATAAACGAATATGGGTGGAGGACAGTAGGTATATAAAAATAATTATGAGAATGCATCTAATTTAATTATATGTTAATATTTTTAACAATATATAAATAGATATCCTAGATTCACTTTATTAGGACAAAGCTTTGGTTCAATAGTTCTTAGTTTTGAGGCTTTAGAAAAACTAACGCCAAATTTTTATTTTGATACCATGGGATACGCATTTACATATCCTATTGCGAAAAAAATCTTTGGATGCAAGGTTGGAGCATATGTGCATTATCCAACTATAAGGTACTTTTAATATCCAATCCGAATAAAAAATAATCATAAAAAAAAAATTCGATATTAAAATTTCTTTTAATTTAGTTCAGATATGCTCGATAAGGTTCAAGAAATGAGACCCGGATTTAATAATGATCAAGAAATTGCCAGAAGTCGAGTATTCAGTACTGGCAAGATATTGTGAGATTTATTTTATTTTTTAATTATATTAATTATATAAAATATACATTTTTGAACTTAAACATTTATTGTTTTATTACAGATACTATCGAATGTTTGCTTATCTTTACTCGTTAGCAGGAACCTTTTCTGATTTAGTTATGGTGAATTCAACATGGACAAAAGGACATATAGATCAGTTATGGGGAGTAAATAGCAAAATAATTTATCCTCCATGTGATACTGCTTCATTAACCAAATTGCCCTTAGAAGGAAGGCAAAGGATCATAGTCAGTGTAGCTCAATTCAGGTTGGTTAAATTTCCTTAACTCTATTCTAAATTTTCGAGAATCACTTTATTTAAAGAATATATCATTTCATGTTAGACCAGAAAAAGATCATTCTCTTCAACTTCAATCTTTCCATGGTTTATTATCAAATTATCCAAATTTTCGGCGAGGGCCGGAAAAAATTGAACTTGTATTGATAGGTAGTTCTCGTAATCAAGGGGATGAATCTAGAATAAGAATATTGAAAGAGCAATGTAAAGAACTTGATTTAGAGGTTAATTACAATTAAAAAATCAAAAATAATATATGATCAAGTCTTTATTATTGAAGAATATATTTATTGATGTTTTATATATCTAGGATAATGTAACTTTTGAAATCAACGCAAGTTTTGAAAAACTAGTTTATTGGCTTTCAAAAGCTAAAGTTGGATTACACACAATGTGGAATGAACATTTCGGAATTGGTGTTGTAGAATATATGGTATCAGATTTAAAGTTATTTAATTTGGTTACATTGTTAAATATATATTTGGGCATAATATAATTTTTTATATTATAGGCTGCAGGATTAGTTCCCGTAGTTCATAATTCCGGTGGACCAAAAATGGATATTGTTGTACCATATAATGATCATATAACAGGTAAGCAAATAACCGTTGCTTTTAATTAGTTTCATTCTTTAATTAACGTTTATTTACAGGCTATCTTGCAAGTACTGCAGAAGAATTTGCAATAAAACTTGCAAATGTATTTTCATTATCGGAAAAAGAATTTAAAAATATACAAACTAATGCTAGAGAAAATGTAATTGGTAAATTTTCTGAAAGTGTATTTCAAGAATTAATATTAAATTTATTGGATCCCATTTTACAATCAAATAAATAATTATTAAAATACACGGACACTATATGCAAGTATCGTTATCCGTACTGTTGTTCAATATTTAAATTTATTATACAGTTGTATTATATCCTCTGGTTAAGTCAATAACCCCCCAATATGTAGATATATTGGATGGAAATTGTATAGAATGTTTCAATTATTGGCGAATACTAAAAATAATGATAAAGTGACACCAAATTTACGTGAAAATCCTCTATCATGATTTCTTTTTTTGTTATTTTCACATCCGTTCGCTTCAATGGAATCGGTGTTTTTCCAAAAAAAAATTGAAAATTCGAATTCATAATGGAAAATAAATTGCACACTTTTTAAATTCACAAGCTTGTCTGCGTATCCTGTTTTAGTAACGATATTCATGCAATGTAACACAATGATGAGCATCAAATTTAACGGTCGAGACATGGTTATATATGGTATTGTAGCATGCGACCAATGAAGTAGCCTAGCGTGAGAAAATGCAATAAAACTTGCAAATGTATTTTCAATGTCGGAAAGAATTTAAAAATATACAAACTAATGCTAGAGAAAATGTAATTCGTAAATTTTCTGAGTGTATTTCAAGAATTAATATTAAATTTATTTGGACTCAATTTTACAATCAAATAAATAATTATTAAAATACACGGACACTATATGCAAGTATCGTTATCCGAACTGGTTTTCAATATTTAAATTTATTATACAGTTTTATTATATCCTATTCTATGAGCTGTTTACACAAATAAACATAACTCCCCAATATGTAGATCTATTGGATGGATATTATATAAAAGGTTTCAATTATTTGGCGATTACTAAAAATTTATGTAAAAATCCTCTATCTTAGTTATTTTCACATCCGTACGCTTCAGAATCGGTATTTTCCCAAAAAATATTTGAATATTCGAATTCATAATGGATAAATTGCATGCTTTTTTAAATTCAACAAGCTTGCGGATCCTGTTTTAGTAACAATATTTCATGCAATGTAACACAATGATGAGATTTGTGTAACTTCGTATCTCGAAAATTTAACGGTCGAGACATGGTTATATATGGTGATGAAGTATACGACCAATGAAGTAGCCTAGCGTGAGAAAATGCTTAATTAGAACAAGTTCCGATGTACAATCTTTTTTGTTATTTTCACATCCGTTCGCTTCAATGGAATCGGTGTTTTTCCAAAAAAATTTGAAAATTCAAATTCATAATGGAAAATAAATTTCACACTTTTTAAATTCACAAGCTTGTAACGATATTCATGCAATGTAACACAATGATGAGCATTGTGTAACTTCAAATTTAACGGTCGAGACATGGTTATATATGGTGATGTAGTATGTGACCAATGAAGTAGCCTAGCGTGAGAAAATGCTTAATCCGACATATAACTAAATGTTTATTTACAAGTTATCTTGCAAGTACTGCAGAAGAATTTGCAATAGAACTTGCAAATGTATTTTCATTATCTGAAAAAAAAATTTAAAATTATACAAAATAATGCCAGAGAACACGTAATTCGTAAATTTTCTGAAAGTGTATTTCAAGAATTAATATTAAATTTATTGGACCCAATCTTACAATCAAATAAATAATTATTAAAATTCACGGACACTATAGCGTACTGTTGTTCAATATTTAAATTTATTATACAGTTGAATTATATCCTATTCTATGAGCTGTTTACAGTCAAATAAACATAACTCCCCAATATGTAGATCTATTGGATGGAAATTGTATAGAATGTTTCAATTATTTGGCGATTACTATAAAATGACATCAAACTTAGTGAAATTCCTCTATCATATTTCTTTGTAGTTATTTTCACATCCGTTCGCTTCAATGGAATTCGGTGTTTTCCCAAACCCGTATCTCAAAAATTTAACGGTCGAGACATGGTTATATATGGTGATGTAGTATGCGACCAATGAAGCAGCCCAGCGTGAGAAAACGCTTGATGAGTGCAAGTTCCGATGTACAGCTGGTTTGTTTTGCATTTGAATTTAGTAAGTAATGCTCAATGATGTATTTTACTGTGAAATTCTTTCTCAATTGAAATCTATTACTTTAATAATGATTATGGTATTTCTAACGCTAATAATCTTTGAAATTTTTTTTTTTTGATAGTTTTGGGGCTTCATCTTCACCGGCGACGAAATTTTGCAAAATCTGCCGGCGTTTATTTTAAAATCTGCCCTGCTTTCTGCGGCTTATAAACATTTCTGCATCATTTTTTAATTGTTTGAAAGAATCTTCTGAAAGATTTTGATAAAATATTATTAACCTGCGGATCCTGTTTTAGTAACGATATTCATGTAGTGTAACACAATTATGAGAATTGTGTAACTTCGTATCTCGAAAATTTAACGGTCGAGACATGATTATATATGGTGATGTAGTATGCGACCAATGAAATAGCCTAGTGTGAGAAAATGCTTAATTAGAACAAGTTCCGATGTATATCTTTTTTGTTATTTTCACATCCGTTCGCTTCAATGCAATCGGTGTTTTTCCCAAAAAAATTTGAACATTCGAATTCATAATGGAAAATAAATTGCAATTCACAAGCTTGCCTGCGGATCCTGTTTTAGTAACGATATTCATGCAATGTAACACAATGATGAGAATTGTGTAACTTCAAATTTAACGGTCGAGACATGGTTATATATGGTGATGTAGTATGTGACCAATGAAATAGCCTAGCGTGAGAAAATGCTTAATTAGAACAAGTTCCGATGTACAATCTTTTTGTTATTTTCACATCCGTTCGCTTCAATGGAATCGGTGTTTTTCCAAAAAAATTCTAACATTCGAATTCATAATGGAAAATAAATTGCACGCTTTTTTAAATTCACAAGCTTGCCTGCGGATCCTGTTTTAGTAACGATATTCGTGCAATGTAACACAATGATGAGCATTGTGTAACTTCAAATTTAACGGTCGAGACATGGTTATATATGGTGATGTAGTATGCGACCAATGAAGTAGTCTAGCGTGAGAAAATGCTCAATTAGAACAAGTTCCCGAAAAAGCTTATAATGGAATCTATTACTTTTAGAACTTGTTTTCTAACGCTAATAATCATGTTTAAAAACAGTAAATACATAGGTAAATTTACTTACGAATTTTTACTAATCATATGAAATCATATGAAATTACAATAAAATTTATATTTATTATTTCACTTATAAACGAGATTTAGAATATTTAAAAGAGAATTTAAATAAATTAATAGAAAATCTAATAAAGAGAATAACAAAATAAAAGTAAAAAAAATTTAAATTAATATATAAATCATCATTAAAATTTTTATCCTTTTAATATGTTTATCATTTACATAATGCTTCATCAATTTTCTTAATGAAGTAAAATTTATTAAAAATCCTACTTTTTATTTGATTTTTAATTTATTTTTTCCAAACATTATGTTGCAATTTAAGAAACAAAACAAGTTTTAACCAATAAAAAGAAAGTAGAAATTGAATTAATGTGACTATCAATAAATTATAAATGTTATTAGCATTTAGCAATTAATAATTATTAAATAAATGATAGTTTTATCCTTAACACAAACTTACTAAATAATATTATTATTTTGATTTCAATAAGTAAATTAAAAAATTATTAATTTTTTTAATAAATATAATTAAATAAATAATAAATTATTTTAAATAAAATACTATTTATATATTTTAAATTGCATTAAGTCATTCACTGACTGATTTTTAAAAGTTAATCCATTTATGTTATATATTAAAAATATATCAAAATAACTTATCCACTAGCATCAAATTTTTTTATTAATGAAATAATTTTATAATTCTCAGAAAAAAATGTTTATAATATTTATATAAAAAATAAATTCATTTTTTGAAGAATATAAAATTTTGTTATTAAATAAATCAGATTATACTTATATATTTATATTTATATTTTGTATTAAGAAATCTAATTTTTAACATTAAGGTATATTTTTAATATTTATATAAATAATTACTTTTAAGTATAACTTTATTTAATTTTCTTTGCAAAAAAATTTAGAGTTGTTAAATAATAGAATTAATACTACAAATTTCCTTTAATTTTAAAAAAAAAAATAAAAAAATAAGATTTAAAATAAAATCATTTAATTAGTATAATAATAGACAATATATTAACTTTATTATAAACTAATAATGAACCAGAAACTATACTAATAATAATAAATATGATTGACAAAAAAAAATTCTAAAATTAAGAGAGAATGTAAAAAACTATGTAAAATAAATACTAATAATAATTAAGTTAAATATATTTAAAAATAACTTTCAAAAACTTTTACTTATTCTATTCATAATTATAAAATAAAAAGAATTGATATTACAAGAAGCTATTATTTAAACAAATATTTTATTTATATTATAAATTTCTTCTATTTTTTTAGTTATTAAATATTACTAATATTATTTTATATTTGATCTATAAAAATTAAATATTATAAATGATCATAAAGTATTTAAATTAATATTAATAAAATCTAATTAAAAATATTTTAAATATTCTAATAAAAAGAAAGTAAATAAATAAAATTAAGAATTAATATAAACTTAATCTTCACTATTAGATCTATAATGAATACTATCTCATGTCTTCAAATTTAAGAGTCCTTATATAAATAAAGAAGTAATTAACTAAATAATTATAAATTAAGTACTATTTTCAGGTAATTATAATGATAATAAATTGCATTACACTACTGCAGCACTATTTAATCGAGTTATCATTTAAGATAAAGGAGTAGTATTCTAGAATATATGAATATATGAATATATTAATATATCTTAAGATATTACTTATTTATGACTAATTTATCTTAGGACATTGTAATCTAATAATTAATATGTTCTAGAATGATATAATCTAATAATTAATATGTTCTAAGACATTATGATCTATATTCTAAAATGTTATAATATTTATATTAATATGTCCTAAAGATAAGATCTGTTGTCTCTCTTTGTGAC